CATTGGATGCCCTGGATTAGTGGTTATCAGCTGCCCAATGTGGGTGCTGGGAACCAAACTCAAACCCTATGGAAGAGCAGTAAGTGCTCTTAGCTGCTGAGCCATCTTTCCAGTCCTAGTATAAAGACTTTTAAAAAGTAGATGAATTTCTGTATACTGTTGAATTTATATATTTAGGAATATATATGTATACACCTATATGTATGTAATAATAATTAAGGAAAAAGAGGTTGTATTTGAAAGAGAGAAAGAAGTAATATATGATAGGGTTTGGTGGAAGAAAAGAGAAGGGAGAAATTATGTATTTATAATATTAAAATAAAGAAAAGACCTACAAAGTTTAAAAAAAGTAGATGAATTTAAGTAAACACTAATTTAAAAATATCATGAAGTAAGGGAGGGCAATATAAGAGGTGTTCGGAAGGTCCCACATTTTTTTTTTGGAGGGAGTAAATAATAATCAATTTTACATTTCATGTCAAATAGGCAAATTGAAAATAAAAAGTATCCATTAAAAGAATAGTGGCAGAAGGTATAATTCCAAAACCAGTAAACCCCTTAAAATGCAAATTAGAATCAATATGTGTTTGTTAAAAGGACAAAGAAAAATAAAAAGAACATGTATCAATTTCAGGTTATTGGTAACCCTCTAGAAGAAAGGAAAATTGATGAGGGAGAGGACTATCAAGCACACCTGCTGTATTCTATCTATTCTTTAAATTAATTGTTGACAATTGCATACTCACATACCCTGAGGTGAACATATTCAACCCCACCACTGTCTCTCACATCCCTCCCTTTCCTGGAGATTGCCTTCCTCTTCCTACATTTGTTTGTTTGTTTGTTTTTGAGACAGGAACTCACTATGTAGCCCTGGCTGTCCTGGAACTTGTTATGTAGTTCAGGCTGGCCTAGATTTCATAGGCATCCACCTGCCTCTGCCTTTAGAATGCTGGTGTTAAAAGTATGCACCGCCACACCTGTATCCCTCTTACTTTTCTGTCTGCTTGTTCAGGTGGCCATAGCTACTGTGCATCCCTGATTACAACGACCATGTTGTATCCAGAAGACAAAGTTTCCTAAGACTTCTCCCCACCCTCTTTGCAGTATTCCTGTCCCCTTTCCTGTGATGCTCTCCCAGTCTTGGGTAGGGTGCTGTAGATGTCTTCTTTAGGGCTGAACACCCGACAGTCTTTTATTTTCAGAAGTTTGACCAGTTATTGTGGTTGATATATTGTGTACCCTAATAAACTTATCTGGCCATCAGAGAACAGAACAGATTAGACATACAGGCCAGAAAATGGTGGCACACACACCTTTTATCCTATCACTTGGGAGACAGCTATTCATCTGGATCTCTGTGAGTTCGAGGCCACACTGGGAACAGAGCCAGGCATGGTAGCACATGCCTTTAATCCCAGGAAGTCATGGCAGGAAGCAGAAAAGTATACAAGTATGAGGACGAGGAACTAGAGGCTTTTAAGCAGTCCAACTGAGATCCATTCAGATGAGGACTCATAGGCTTTCAGCCTGAGGAAACAAGATCAACTGAGGAGTTGTCGAGGTGAGGTTGGCTGTGACTTGTTCCGTTTCTTGGGTCTTTCAGAAATTAGCCAATACCTTGCTCTGGATTTTTTTTTTTTATTAATAAGACTGTTTAGTAATTCATGTTACAAGTTATGCATCTCTGATTTAATAATCATCCATGTTTAAACTTTTCCAAGTGCGATGTTATTCCTCCCCTGTACTTTCATATCACATGTGATTGGCTACCCCCAAGTTCTCATCCATCTCTTAGGGCTCCTTTTTTTTCTTTCTCTGCTTTCTATAGACACATTGAAATTTAAATAGAGAAATCTAAAATTCAAAGCTAGGATCTACATATAAGAAAGAATGTAAGACATTTGTCTTTCTGGGCCTGGACTACCTTGTTCAGTATCATATTTTCCAGTTCCATATATATTTTCCCATAAATCCCATGATTTCACTTTTCTTTAATGCTGAGTAGAATTCCACTGGATAAATATACCACATCTTCATTATTCATTCATCTGTTGATGAACATCTAGTGTTGGTTCCGTTTTCTAGCTATTGTGAGCAGAGCAACGATGTCAGCACAAGAAAAATATGGAAACAAGACAAATAATTATGGTTAGAGGTATTTTAAAATGAGTTGTATATTTACATGCTGGAATATTGTACAATAACAAAATGAACTAAAACTGTATTAGCAATGCTGAGTACTATATGATTGGGACTTTAGTGTTAGCTCAGTAGTTTAGCACATTTGCTACTCTTCCAGGGGACCAAAGTTCAGTTCTCAGTACCCACGGTTGGGTGGCTCACAAATACCTGCAACTCTAGCTTCAGGGGATCCTACATCCTTTTCTGGCTTCCAAGCACACCCACAAATATGTGTACATATACACATACGTGCACATACATATAATAAAAAACAGTTCTTAGTAAATGAGTGTGTGAGAATGAGAACAAGATGCACAAAAAATCTTGAATCGCATCTTTGTTTACAAAATAGATAGAGGCTGGACTGTCACTTGGTGGAGCACTCGACTACCACGGTTAAGGCCCTTGGTTCAATACCTAGTACCATAAAGGAAAAAAAATGTTTAAAAGATTCCTTGTGGGTGTGCATGCATATATCTATGTATGCCTCATCAAATTATACAAGGCTAAACAATGTTAAAAATATGGCTGTGCTGGA